AAAAAAAAAAAAAACAAAAAACAAAAAAAAATTAACAACGAGACGAAAAAAGAGAGAGAAATACGAGGCGCTGGCCTCGATATAAAAAACGCACAGCGAAGAGGTTTGCGCGGGCAATGAATTTTTTTGGTCGCGGATAACTTTTATGCAAATCCGCGTATATAGTGTCGAGTGTGTCCGGGGAGGTATACGACCGATTTGATTCGAGTGGCCGGGTACGAACTTACGTGCGCGTTGCCGTTTGCGAGAGGCATAAGTGCAGGCATGCCGTGCACTTCAAGCTGACAAAGTGACGATTACGCTAAACGCATGACGGTCCGCGCGCGCGTCACGCGTCACGCCACTTTAGCCACTTTAACGCGCGTTAAACGATTTCCGGCGAAAATGCTTGTGTTGTTGGGTGTCGAGCAGAGTATGTGCCTACCGAAGGCCGGGGGTCTCCGGGTTGTGTGAAGCGCGCGAATATATCTGGATCCGCCGGTCTCTGCGGGATCGGCAGAACCGAAACGTTAGGGACGTTTATTTTACCTGTTGTGTGTTCGGATATACATATCCGCGCGCGTTTCTCTTCCGAACACAATTAACCCCCCTCTCTCACAATTAAACCCTCCCTCCCTCCCTCCCTCCCTCATCCCATTCCTGGAAACGCGGGATGAAAACCAAGACGAGCATTGGTGTAATGTAATTACGCATACGGCAAAAAAAAACACGGTCGTTATTAAATTGGCAAATAAGTAGCATATTTATGAGATCCATTGAATTCAACTCGCCGCGAAAAAAAAAAACACGGGAGGGAAGCTCCGAGACGGAAATCTTTTAATATCTTTCCGCGCATCTCCCGTTTCTTTGTTCGACGAGCGACTGCCGTGAAGAAGCAGCAGCACGGCGATGAGGCTATCGAACGGGTGAGGTAGCTTTTTAGTTAATTACATCGCTTTTTCCCCTCTCCTTCCCTTCCGCCACCCTCTCCCACCACCTCTTACCTCGCGATACACGTTTGAATGTCGCGAGATCCTCGAGTTTTAATTTTCATAAATGTTACTTCCTTATGAAAAAAGACCAAAGCGCGCGGAAAATATGCAATATCGTTGATCGTTGTACGATGAAATCGCATCGTATAATTGAATTCGCTTGTCGCGCAAAGCCAAACAAAAGAGCAGCGACAGAAGATCCGAAGATCAGAATCATTCTTCTTGAAAGAATTAATTAACGTGCGTGTTCGCATGTTCTTCTGTCGATATTTGCGTATTTGGTAACCTTGATTCGCGTCCAGGTGTTGCGCGTGACTGTACTCTCACGGCAAGATGGCGACTGGCACACTCAAGAGCTTGTTTCGACGCTCCCCTATAGGATCTCTCTCTCCTCTCACTTTTATTTTTCCATCTCTCTCCATCTTTCCATCTCGGTCCATATTCTCTTTTCGTTTTTCTCTCTTCGACCTTCTTCTCCCCTTTCGTGTATTCACTCTTGTTCTCCTTCTCTCTCTTTCCTTCCGTCCCTTCCTCGCTCTCTTTCTTTCTCTCTCTCTCTCTCTCTCTCTCTCCTCGCTGATACTTGAAATTTTTTACCTCTGCCATGAAGGGTGGAAATGGAATAAAATGAAAAAAAAAGGGGAAACACGTGAACGTGGACTCTACCAGCGCGAAATCGTCGCGACGCCCGCGCCGCCGCCGCCGCCGTCGTCTTCACAAGCGACGTTTCTTGCGTGCGTTATTTTTGGTGTACTTCGGTGTCGGGTCTTACTTAAAAAAAAAAAATTGTGTGAACGACAATTCTCTTCCGAAGCAAACGACATATCTGAATCAAAACAGTTAATCTATTGAAGGCGGAATAACACGGGCGGAGGAGAGATTGCAACAATAAAAAAAAAAAAAAAAAAAAAAAAAGAGAGCGAGGAAGAGAAATGAAAACGTGTCCACGGAAGCACGATAAACTAACGAGTAAATTATAGAGCGGCTGGCGGAGCGCGGCTGTCGGGCGGAAGAATCGCTTGCCCCCGCCAGATCGGCCAGTCCGATAACTTTCAGGATCATTAATGTTATATGGCTGTTTACGAGACGCTGCGATGCAACGTTAACTCTATTATGCGCTTGCGGGACAGAGCCTTGATCTTGATGTCGAACAAACTCCGTCCTGATAATCATCGAGAATTTGCGCGACGGATAATCGTTCGACTCAATCGTCGCTCAAATACAGACACTCTTCCGTAGTGTTGAGTTTAAAAAGACTCTCCACGATACTCTCTTTTTTTTTTTGGTTCGGACGTTAAAAATGTTTATATATAGAGAGAGAAAAAAAAGCTTCTGTGTATTGTACGTACACAAATATACACTAAAGCTCGTGACAATTTAAAACAAGTTTGCTCAGGACCAACGCGAGGCCGGGATGTTAATATAAAAAAATTTTCACTTCTTATTATAACAATAAAAAAATGTCAAAACTCCGACGTTTCGATCCAGCAATCGAATTTTCGTTGGTTAAAAACTTAAATGATATTTTGATTTTTATAGATTTCACGAGTGCCGTTTCACTTTACGAGCAAGTTCTATCAGAATTATAGTTTTATTGAATTTCAATGCGCGCGCGACAGGAATGTATACACGCGTGTCTCGTCGGCACACGCAAAAGTGCGCAAGCAAAAATCCGCTTATGCGCGTATCCGCTTAAATCCGCTCGTCGCGTTGCATCTGCACCGAATGACACTCGTCCGCGTATTTCGCGCAAAATATCATCTGCGTCTCTAAAACGATAACGAAGTAGCAAATTTCACTTTAACACATAAAACGTGCGCTGCGATAAAAGTTCTCTTAACAATCGAAAAGTTCTTTTGTTTATGAGTTTTCGTTTATATTGAATTTTTTTTTTTTTTTTTTTTTTTAATTAAAATAAACGTCCCGAAAAATCTCGGCAAGTATCACCGCGACCGGACATTTTATCAAAGAAATAATTGCAACAAAGTACGTTTCTACGTAAAAAGTTAGAAAATGTGATGTTCAAAAACGTATTTTTCAAAATATTTAACACATTGGACAAAATTTTTTACGTTTCATGATTTTATATCCGATAATTATTTTTTAAATAAATGCTCGGTCATTGAGAAATTTATCTTTCAAGAATTAGAAAGCCCACAGTTTGAATTTCTGTTATTATTGCGCGCAGAATTTTGATGATGCTTGTGAATCTGAAACGCGCGCAGAACGCGCCGACGACACGCAATATATCAAACAAATCGGTATTGTAATTGCATTTCAATACCGTCGCGTCACCGCGGAATGGAGCAATGTCGTTTGCTAATGTATGCCCGCGGCTTTCGTGACGGCGCATACGTGACGTCGCAATAGATTCAAAGAAATCGCGTATATCGCGACGATCGGGGATCTCAGTTGGTTTTTTTTTCTTTTTGAATAATACATTCTTTCCCCGAAGGAAGCGGCAAAGAATATGACAGGCGAGCACAATCCCGTGTATTCGATTATGTGCATGCATATATTAAGAGATCCGAGAGACACGGCACGTTTCCACGTGGCAATATCTCGACGATCGCGTCCTATCGCTGTTAAAAAAAAAAAAAAAAAAAAACAGTAGGTACTCGCGATATCTCGCTTAATAAAAAAAAAAAATCGCATCTCGCTTCATACAACAAAACAAAAAAAAAAGAAAAAAGAAAAAATCACCGAGTTCAATTCGCCGCGGAAATTTACACGAGCGCGTGTAAATTTTGCGACACGAGTATAGTGCAAAGATAATCGTTTCGATTCGAGCGCGCACGAACACTCGAATATCTTGCGCATTTTTAACTCGGATTACTCGTGCGGATAGGTATAAACATTTAATTTCGCCGACGCGTAGAAATTCATTATTCCGCTCGAGCGTGAAAGTTTTAATCTCACGTGAAATTTTTGAAGCCACGTGAAACGCGACGGGTGCTTGATTACATGCTCAACACGAGCAATTTTATTCGTTCTCTGTCGACGACGTTCGGGCATACGAGCACGCGCGCGCGCGCAATCGGCCTCGGAAAATCCCAAATATGACATAACAAAATAAATGCAAAATCGCTTCGAGCGTTCGAGTGGCTCTCTCGAAACGAAATATGATGCGGATTTATGCGGCTTCCGCGAGATATTTCTCATTTAAAGCTATTCCCATTTCGGGAATTGTTCGACATGACGCGACGCGATGTGTGTTTTCGTCCATGCGTGACGTTCGTCATTTGTTTTAAAAAAATCACCGCGAAGCGATCCGAAGCGATGACGAAACAAATAATGCGGCGGAATAATATTTTTCCAATTGAGAAAAAAAAATAGAGTCTATGCTACTTAAGGTAAATGTCCCAATGACCACAATGCCCCGCGCATTTATTAAAGAAATAAATTATTAGACACTCTTAAATATCAAACATAATAATTTTCTTAAATATTTTTGTATATTTTTTAAGATATGATGTTTTTTTAATGGTAGTTCTCTACTTTCACACATATGTACATGTACGTAATGTAATCTTCATATAAATTACACATTTGTGTTTTATACATAAATACTTTGTTATAATTTTTTTTTTAAATAAATGTCCGGATCGCTGGGGGACAGTTGTTTAATCCTTCGCGAAATACGATTGCACTTACCTGATTTTGGGCGTTTTGCTCGGCCATGGCTTTCTCCTTTGCTTGTCTCTTGCATTTGTACCGATGATTTTGGAACCATATCTTCACCTGAAAAGCGAAACAAAAAAAAAAACGAATCGTTGAGTATCTCGTGACAAGATGTCGCAATTTGTAAATAAAGCGCAACCGAGAAACTCGCGAAATGTTCGAAAACAATTTTTAAAATAATTCCGTGAAAATCGGTAAATGGTATTGACTCGTTCTTACAAAGCGGAATGAAACGGACAATATGTTTCGTACGTGAACTTCCGCCACAGGTATATACAGAACCCTCGAATGTTTTTTCAGCGTCGGGGCGCATCACGGGGCCTTTGTCAGACGCATTTCGAAGCGATCTCTATTCCATATCTGATCCTTTAAGTCTGTAATCCACGAATGGAAATCTGTGTTATTTGTTCAAGAGGAATTTAACACCTCGTTCTAGCTGTTCGCCGACACTTAACGTTATATAAAGACGAAGACGAGATATAATACGCAATATATATCGTATTTATCATCCCCGCGAAAAGGAGCGTTATCGCGGAGAGTTTCGTTCTGTCACATCAAATTGTATGCAAAGATTCAACGTGTTTCTCGCGCTAAAACGAAAAAAATAAATATTTTATAAACACAACAATAAATATATTCTACAAATATTTGTTTATATATACCTTACATCTCTTTCTCACATTTTGCGTAAACATACACGATAAAATACTTCGAAAAAACGTCTGTCTGTGTATATATCCGCGATTTAAAGTCGAACTACCCCAGATCGAAAGTTGTGACTCGTAAGAAATTGTTTTGCTCTCGACCGATACGTGCGCACGCGCGATTGATACGAAACACCTCATTCGTGTGATCGAACGACTGACTGACAAAACGCGAATGCAAAAGCCAAAGGACAAAGGCGCGATCAAGAACCGCCTCTCTCTCTCTGTACGAAGAACCATGTATAATGCGTAAAAGCGTGGATTATAACGCGCTTCTGTCATAAGCAGATGTCGATCTCGATCTCCGTCCAGGCGGCTGCACACAACTTCCCCGATCGCTTAGCTCAATTGCCGTAAAAGCCGCCTCGAGCGCGCGACCCTAATCGCACGCGACTGCTCCCGCTGAAAACTCGAAAACCGCCCCGGTGTATATATATATATATAAATCGTTCCTTCTCTCCTTCCCGACTCGGAAAACTTCCTCTCGCGCGCATCTCGAAATCTTCGTTCTTCGGACCTCGAAGTTCTTCTCTCGTCTATAATGTCAAATACGTGTCTCGTTTTATACGCGCGCGATTGTTATCGTCGCGGTTTTGCGAGACGCATATGTTGTTACCGCGCGCGCGCGCGCGTAACATCGTCGAGTGGCTATTGTTGCCAACCTCGAGTTTTTGAAGTCGCGCGCAATCGCGGACCCTCCTCCCATCCTACTCCCATTATCGGAGTTATATGTGTCGGGAATGCAACGAAAGCACTTTAAGGGGGAGGAGGGTCCGTTCGGTCGACCGCATCCTCGAGGACCCCGCCAACGTCTGTCTAATTCTTTGAATATTAGCGGGATCGGGCCACCCTCGAAAATTCCTTTCACCCCTCTCGGATGTCGTCTCGAGCGTGACCGAAATACCGGACGTTTGTCTCGCGACGTTCGACTCGGAAAAAAAAAAAATCTTCCTCCCTATCGCGTGGTCGTTCGAACGAAGTGTTCCCGCGAGTCGAGTTGGATTTTCAGTCTTGCGAGATCACATCGCTGCGTTTATTATAAATCACTGACGACAAAAAAAATTAATCAATCGTCAGTTCACGTTCCGCTTGTACAAGGGAGGAAGGAAGGAAGGAAGGAATGTTTCTTGAAGACGATTCGTTCGCAGAATCATCGTCATCGAGTGAACGAGCGACGATGGCGACTTGAGGAAACAGCACCGCGAGAAGGAAAGCCGCCAGCAGTACTTGCAGCCCTTCCCGCCGCTGTTCGTTGCGTGAGTTTTTACGTGCGCTTTGTGGCACGGCCGGTTTTGTGTAGGGGTGAGAGACCTTATCTAAAAGCCGCGAAGAGGTACTAGACGAGGGAAGTACTCTTTCGCTGCTCCCGTTCGTTAATTCCTTTTCCACCGATAATCCACTCGAAGCTCGTCGAGTTTTCGGCTGCGTACGCTCCGCGCGCGCGCGCGCGCGCTCGCTGACTTCGAGAGATCTACAAACAGCCATTCACTTCTGCGCGAGCTTACGTACAAGTGGAACGTACGATGGAATGCGTGACGTGGTGAATCCTTCGAATCGTAAATCCCGCGCGCGCGGGATTTTCATCCTTTTTTGCACGCCGCCCGAAACTGATCCCGACGCAGGTTTTTTCCTCCCCGCGTCTCGCTTTTGAAAGCGACGTCACTGTTTGAAACTCGCGTAAGAACCGACCGAATCAACAAACGATGACGATGAGCCGACCGTCGCGTCGCTGAGACGGTCTTCTTCAAGAGAGACGCGTTGATGAAACGCGAGTTTAATCGCCGCGTGTGTTGCGAACTCTCGGTCTCTATCAATAAAATAAATTTTACTCTATACGTGTAGTACCCACTACATACGCGCCTGAACTCGCGCAAGTATAAATCCAGAGACCGCGTTCGGTGAGAGATTCGAACGATGAAAACAGGACGCGCGCGCCAGTGAGCCAACGCGAACCGAATTGTTATTTCAACGTTCCGTCAGTCCGTTTGTCCATCCCGTCACGATGTCGTGTGTAAACAGGGAAAGTTAAACAAGATAGGGATATATAACTGGTGTGTACGTAAGAACACGGTGCGCAGGCATGAAATTCAAGGCTAACAATGTCGACCTCGAGCGACAAGCGCTTTAATGTGTGAATTTTGTCCATCTCGAGTACACCGAAGCGCTTCTTGCTGCATTGGGGAAAAAAAGAAAAAAAAAGAGTTGAACGGTCTTCTCTCGTCGATTTTATTTCGGAGCATGTAATTTGGAAAATTTCCTACGCGATATCTCAGTGTTTTTTTTTTTTTTTTTTTTTTTAATTTACATATCAATCAATTGTTTAACATATTTCGACAATACGCGAGATGTTCAATTTTTTGATTATATTTCTAAGTAATTAATAAATTTCAAAATTAATTGCACAAGTGCAATTAATATACATCACGAAAATACAATTTTTTTTATTGTTACAAAAGAATCAAATTCCAAATTATTGCACGAGGATTTTACAAGTTTTTTCTTTTATGCTACGATTATTATACACCGTTACATATTATAAAATATTAAACAACAAATTTGTGATAATTATTAAAATGATAGAAATATATAAGCTTTGGTTCGCAACGAGAGGGAATTATGTCATGCGAGAGAAGCACAAAGTGAAATTGCTCTTCTCAGGTATCTGGGACGCGTCGGTCTATATTTATCTTCGAGGAGCACGTACGGCGCGCGCGCACCCTTTGCGAAAAAGGCCTCGGAGGACCGCGCCGTCAGGGGGTACGGCGGTAATTTACTTAACACAAGGATGACGGGAGCTTAGCTTTAACCTCCGATTAACTTGCAGTTTATTCCCATTCAAACAGGTAAATGAAATGTTTGACACGCGCTTTACGCCATCGGGGAAACGAACGGCTGTAATTCTTCCTCCCTCGTCGCGTGGAATAGAGAGACCACCCAATGATGACGAATTCTTACAACAACCTGTCCAGCGAATCTCTGCAAAGCTAATTGACTGTTAAAAAATCAAAATCTAACGCGTCTTTTCTACGACACGACTTTGCGTGACGTAGCGTTCGTTCATTACGCAGAGATCACGAGAACGCAATTATAGTATTTTATTTTGAAAAAAAAAAAAAAAAAAGAAAGAAAGAAAAAACACCAAGATGACTCTGACATTTTTAAGAAGCTACTCAACCTAGAAACAGTTCAAGCGATACGAACGCGACGCGTCGTTCGTAAAAAGTTTTATAAGAAGAATATACCGATATAAACATTCTTCGAACGGGTTCCCCCAAACCGTGCAAAATTCCGAAATGTCATTTCGAAACTGTTACACAAAGTTCTCGGTATCTTCTTACACGAAGGGCAAATGTATGTAAGAGAGGGTCAAATGTAATTCGAGCTTCTTTCCGCTCATCCCGTTCGACGGCCACTCGACATTATCTCTCTCTCTCTCTCGTTTGTATTGTAACAATCTCTCCTATCCAGGTAACGCGTGTCGTCGTTTGACATTAGGTGGCCCATTAAATGCCGATAAATCTGGGTGGGTGGCGTACCACGCGGAGTCAAGGGGCGCACCGATTATATATCCCGATATGTGCTACGAACGCGCGTCGACACGCGTTCGGGAAGCATCGAGTATCTGTTAGACCTCCGCTCTGACAGAGAGCCCGAGCACGTATTAGGTGTAGACCAGAACAGAACCGAGAGAGAAAGAGAGAGAGAGAGAGAGAGAGAGAGAGAATGTGTGTGTGTGAGGGAGGCAGGCGATTAGAGTGGATGATTGATCAAGTTAGCGACATTACGTCGCAAGTACATCGTACGGGGGTTGACGCAAAACGACAACCACCACCCCGCCTGCTCCCCCGCTCCTAGGTGTACAACAACCTCCTCGGGCAATTTCACTCGACACCAACCTTTGCCCGGATTATCCGGTTTGCGGGCTGTACAGCCTCGGGGCCAATGGGTGGCTCTTTCTCTCTCTCTCTCTCTCTCACCGTTGGGGTTCGTTATGGCGTGGACTCAAGCGAGAATCTCGTGCGCCGACTCTCAACGCCCGCGTTACCGCACAATTTTCTTAAGCCGAACGGCCGCAATGAAACGGCAATGTGCAATTCTGATCATAATCACGCGGAATTAAAGTGTACAAATACGTAGAGAATAAATATTCTAATGATACTCGCGGATATTTGTTAAAGAACAAATTATAATCAGATTTTTTATACATGTGAAGTTAGGAGAGAGAGAGAGAGAGAACTAATATTTTTTAAAATCACATATTTTTATAAAAATACTTAAAAAATTGTTACGTTTGATATTTACGTATCTGATTAACAATTATTTCTTTGACAAATGTTCAGTCACTGATACACGTGCGGTGTCACTGAACAAATTGATCAATCAACGAAATGAGAAGTTTTAGCGAAACTAGACAAAACAGAAAGTTTTTACCAAATTTTTGCACATCTCACGAGAACAATTATTTTAGATAATCCACAGGAAATGAACGCTGTGTTTATTTTTACTAGTAATACACGTTCGCTAGTAAAATATATAAAAGCGCGATATGTTATCGAGATGATGTTCGCGGGTGACTTGTTTGTCTCGGGAGAAAAATTCGGGAGGAGAAGATTAGCGACGTGCGAATGTGTTCGCGCGCAAAGAGCTCGTTACACAACGATGAACTCTCTCGCGGAATAGCCGGATCAACTAACGTCAAATTATGATTAGGGCTGTTAATTGTCCCGTGTTGACCCTGTTGAGTGGTAGCCCGAGGACAAACATTATTCCGCCTCCCTTTTGTTGTTTTAACTCGATGCCGTCGGCCGGAGATGACTTACCGATTACCCAGCGTGATGTCTGAAAACCAGGGGTCTTTCAGCCCCCGAATCATAATGACTTCCTAGTTTATCGCGAGGCGATGCGTGGAAAGATAAATTCCGCGTTAAAAAAAAAAAAAAAAAGCGCATCTCACAATCTTCGCCTCTGTCTCGTACGTTCCAATTTTATCTCGTTCTATCTTGTCCGCCGCAAATCAAATTCCTGTTAATATTATATATGCATCTTATAATAGAGCGCGCTCTTCCATCATCAACTCCGGCTCTTTCGATTTTAACATCTTTGCAAGATCGGCTCAAAACTGGAGAGGGTAGAGGGGACGGGATGAAGAGACGACGACGCGATAAAGCGCTGTTAAAGAGACACGCTGATGTTTGCGGTCCGAATATATGCACCCTCGCGGCACAGATGCCGCAAATGCGTCGGAGAGGTTACAAAGAACTCGTCCGCGCTACAGGGCGCAGCACAAAAAGTAGTTTTCCGTTCTAACGAACTCAAGACACATTACGGAGCTTCCACGCGAACGAAACCTCAATCGCGATGTCTTTTTTTTTTAGTTCGCTAACATATTACACGTACGCGTGGCTCACTATTTTTTTTTTTTTCATGACACAGAGGGGAAACAGATTTCGCAAAATTGCCAACGGCTGAAAACTCACTGAGATTTTGCACCGGTCTATATATGTGTGCCAAAACGCGCCACCACCAGCCCGCCCCAGAGCGTATCTTCTTCGCGCGAGCGACAAAAGAAGCGACGAAAAGAAGTGTAATTATGTGTCGGGCCACATTCTGCCGCGCGTGTGTGTGTGTGTGCGTGTAAGTGTGTAGATGTCGCGCAAACGCGGACTGCAAAAGCCAGGGACATATTCATGCGTGTGGTTATTATGCGAGGGTGACGGGAGTGCACTTGAGAGATGCGCGCACGCGTTGCAGGACGTTCAATTTACGCGCATGCATTTGACAATTAAGAAGCGAATCCCGCGCGGCGATTCGTACACGTGTTTCGGAGATCGCCGATAAGAGAGAGAGAGAGAGTTTCGAGAGATCCGGTATAACATTAAAGATATTACAGCCGATTTTTTTTTCTTTTCTTTTCTTTCGCAAGCACGGAAAACACGCAGCTCGGAGCAATTTCTTGATAAGTATAATTGACGAACCCCGGAGGAGGACACACAACTGCGAGATGGAGGGAACGCGCTCAAGAGCAAATACCCGCGGATTAATGGCGCCGTTTTACCCCCTCGCCGTTACCGTGTCAAAAGACCGCGATGTAGTCCGCCGCGCTGTCGATCGTTCCGTCTCGTCTCTCTCGTCTCTCGTCTTGTCGATAGATCTCGACAACGACGGCGGCGGTACAGCGACGTGTTTGCACGGCATTGAGCTCGCCCTCTGCTCTCCGGGATTCGATCCCTCTTCTGATGCGCGCGCCAGGGGTTGCCGACCGCGGCACAGAGGGATGAGACTATATACTATATAGGGAGAGAGCTTGGTGCGCAAACCCATTATTATGATTATTATTATTATTATTCGCGTAGCTGAATCACGCGCAATCGCGCGCAACCTCTGTCTCTTCTCCTCTCTTCGTTCGCGCGTTCTTTTATATCCGTTCTTTCATTCCGTGATTCCTCGCGTACGAGGCGGGAGAGACGCAGGCTCGGTGCTCTCTGGTGGTCGCGAATATCGGGTTTCGAATCTCATCGCCTCGCTTCTCGACGTTCCCTCTTTCCCAAACCCTTACCCAAAATTGCAGGTCCGTGGAAAAGTGCGGAATACGAATAGATAACGCGCGTCCATGATGTAAGCAAACCCTCCCTCCCGTCTAAGGGATTGAAGACACGCAAACCGGAAAGAAAAAAGTGATTCTTCAATTGTTAAAGTTAGATATTACCAATATTTTATACGTTACAACATTTTAACCCTTTGCCGCGTGCGCTATAAACGCGATTTCATGTTAAGTGAAGCGGATTTCGAACACCAGATCAAACTCTTTCTTGCGGACAATTTGGCGGACTAAAATTTTTTGGAAAAAAAAAAAAAAAAAAAGGAAGGATGAGGGGTAAATAGAGTGGGGGGATAAAAACGCTACGATAGGCGGACCAGAGGCGGGAGGAAGAGGGGAGGGAGGGAGTGTAATTTGCCTCTAATGCGGCACTCGACGTAGCAGCTGGCTCGCCAGCCTTCTGCTTTTCCATTCGCCACTCGGCCGCAACCGGCAACAGTAGCGATAATAATAACAATACTCGTAACAATGCCAGGAGTGGCTAGGCATTGTAACACCGCGCCGCGCAAAAGAGAGGGGGAGGGGAAGCCGGGTACTTGGAGTAACAATGCAAGCGCAAAATGGAGGGACCCATCTGCGTGTGCCCCGTGCCAAGAGGACAACATGAGAGGGAAAGGGGAGAATGTGCGTTCCGGGAGGAGAGGGAACGGGACGAGAAATCAGCCGCGGGACGAAGGGAAGAAGCACGACGACGAGATAAACGCACGAGATGCGCGTCACGCGCGCTCCGATACTACTATCAGTTTTTTGTTTTTTGTTTTTTTACAAAGAAGCCGCGTTGTTCGCGGACGAAGATTGCCGATCGCCGACGGTTTGGCAAACACATTCCGCTATTGTATATGATGAGAGCACTTAAATTAAATAAATAAATTACAAAACTAGAAAAATGAATTATTGATAAAAAAAAAAACGTTAAATAAAAAACTGTTTTGCGTTTGCTATAATTTTCAAGTAAAAAATTTTCTTTATATTTTTCGCGAACGCTGTCGTCTACACCGAACTCGTTATCGAAACTCAGTGCTCCCGCACTTACCCCGGATGGGCATGAAAATCCCTACTGATTGCAATCAGGCCTCTTTGCCGACTTCGGCACTTGACTTGAAATCGACTCGTCATCGTTCCAAGTGCCAAGGGTTTCGCGCGACTTCCTGTTTAAGAAAACGTTCCGTCTTTGCGGTGCGTCTTCGAGCTTCGTTGTCTCAGGGCTTCTCTTTCAACTTTTTTCTAACAATAAGTCGATCTTACGTCACTCGCGTCGTGTAAATTGTTTGTATTTCGGATCAAAAAATTTAATTTTCGTTACGATTTAAACTCTTGGAAAAATGACCAAAGCGTCAATGAAAAATGAATATGTCAATCTGTAATCGAAATTTGTTATAATATTAAATTTCTAAATGATTCTCATATAATACACATACATGCGAAACCTCTAAAACCGCTTTAAAATATAACAAACGTTCGTGATGCTTTGAGCGAAAAGTTAACTTGCAATATCGATAGCATTGTTCGCCGCATTACCCGCGATGACAGACGGACAATTCGACGCGCTTGTTTTCAAAGGGCAGATAAATGAATTGAACCGCAGACAGAGAGACGAGCGGTAGACGGAACGATAGACCGTACGAGGGGGAGACTTTATACTACGTGCACGAACGCAGGATGCGGCCAATGAGCTACGTAATAATTATTTATTGTTGCCAGACTGTTGTGCCACGTCGAACGGACCTGTCTGTGTCGGATGAAAATGAATACGCTCGTTAAAATCGGCGTATGCCAGAACCAATTGTCCTATAACCGTCCCAGCGGACAATAATTAGAAGTTCGTCAATTAAGCTAAAATAGCTACGTATATATATATATATGTATATGCGGGGTAGCGGATGAAGGGGGGAGACGGGGAGGGAATAATAAGTCGGTTATTCAAGTGACTTTCAGCGAAGTGAACTTTCCGTGCGACTTAAATAAAGAAAAACGACCGGAAACGAGCAAGTTGCGGATGTGCTTTTAAGCGCGGTCAAGGATTTCACAAACGTGTTTTATTTACTAAAATAATATCGGAACTGGTTTTTTTTTTTTTTTTTTTTTTTTTGTTCAAACTCCCGACGATTTTGCGGAATACATTCTAAAGCACAAATCAAAAGTACATTCCGGGCAAGTCCGTTAATTAATTATACGTCACGTAAGTGCGCGTGTACGTACCTGCGTGGGCGTTAAATGAATCAACGACGCCAGATGCTCCCGTTCGGGCGCGCTGAGATACTTTTGCTGCTTGAACCGCCTTTCGAGCTCGTAGACCTGGGCCTGGGTGAAGAGCACGCGTCTCTTCCGTCTCTGAGCGAGGGGGAACTGCATCGCGCCGACGCCCATTCCGACGCCGACCCCGACGCCGACACCCACTCCCATCCCCGACGACTTAGTCACGTCGCCCATCGACTGGCCCACCGAGCAGCCGGCCATATTGGTCCCGGCGCCCGCCGCCGCGGCGCCCATCAGCCGCGAAACTGCAAAACATATTGAACAAACCGGGAATGATATTTTTTGCGAGCATTCTTGCCTCGTCTTACATAATAATATCGTGCGGATTTTATTTTAAGTCAAAGGAACAACCAGCCGTCTCCGCGTAAATAACATAAACAATTATACTGAGAAAAAGAAAATTTGACGAATTACCAAAAGATTCTAAAATACATCGTGAAAAAAATCTCTCGGTATGCTGCTTTATCTAATGCACCAAAATTCTCAATCAACTCATCGCAAGGATCTATTATCAACATGTCTGAGAAAAGCAAACAAAAAAGTGTTCAAATCGAAAAAAAAAAAAAAAACATGAGACAAGTCAATAGGACAAGCGTTCGAGCGCGTCAAAATTCTTCAAAGTTATACTTATTTAGAAACGTTCCAATTTCCAACTTCCCGAGATGCAACAGCGCTTGTTTGTTTCGCATTCGTCAATTCAGGAAATCAAAAAGAAGAAACTTTATACGTCACTCGCTCCAGCGAAACTAACCGTAATAAAATAAAGACGATTGTGCGCACCCCGTCACACCATCGTCAGCATCAATACGGAATATGATCAAAATTATGTGAAAGCGCGCACTTTCGTTAAGCGCGCGCGGGTCTAAGCAGCGCGCGTCTGCATTAATGTGTGAATTCAATTCTTTCTTTCTCTCTCCAAATTTGAGCTACCGAAAGCTACCCGAGCGAAGCGACTGCGCGTAGCAGTCTATCCCTTGTCAGTTTGGCGAGGAGCTGTCAAAAACGCGCCTTGGGCGCGGACAAAAGGAACGATTTAGGCGCTCCTGCGCGATGTGCTACGTCACCACACGGAGCACGGGAGGTCCGAGAGATGAAGTTCCGAATTATTATGCTTGTGAGAACCGTGTATTTCTTTTTTTTTTTTTTTCTTTCTTTTTTTTCTCTCGAACCGTCAGCGTGGAGTCGAGGGCGAGAAAGAAATACCACTTGAGCGCAGGAACAAACACCATCAAATTTGTTTACCCCGACTCTGCTTGGCGCGCCTATATATATATATACGTATATATTCCGAGTGAGCAATATATTCAATCGCGATCTCGCAGCGCAAAATCGGGAGAGTTCACTGTACCCGTGTAAACAATGAAGGCATTTTCGTTTCGCGGAAAGTGGTGGCAATTTTTTTTTTTTTTTTTTTTTTTTTTTTTTTTTTTTTTTTTATTGCACACGCGTTTTGTCCCTCTGATCTCGCGGATTTCCGACGGCCGACTGTGTGTATTGGCGTCGGAAACACACTCGGGCGTCATCCTCAAAGATTCTTTCTCCCGGTTACGCACCGATCGCNCTATATATATATATACGTATATATTCCGAGTGAGCAATATATTCAATCGCGATCTCGCAGCGCAAAATCGGGAGAGTTCACTGTACCCGTGTAAAAGTCTAGCAAATTTTTCTTGCCGGTTACGTAGTAATTAATTTTTTTTTTTTTTTTTTTTTTTTTTTTTTTTTTTTTTTTTTTGTACACGCGAGTTGTCCCTCTGATCACGCGGATTTCCGACGGCCGACTGTGTGTATTGGCGTCGGAAACACACTCGGGCGTCATCCTCAAAGATTCTTTCTCCCGGTTACGCACCGATCGCGTCTTACAGCATGACCCCGTCGTCCCAATGACCGAACAAGCGGAACAAGCGGTGAAACCTATTCGGTTTCGATTCGGTCAAATAAAGCAAATGTCTCAACGACCGCGGACCGCCGGACGAGCGTTTATTGAATAACAAAATATTTACACGTGTCAAGAGTTAGGAGAACTAATATTTAAAATATTAAAAAAAAAAATTATTTAATACCACCTAACATATCCGATATAATGATATATATATATAAATTATGTTTCTGTAATATATTAACGTATCTCCGATCACACACATTGTGACAGTCGTTTTATTTGTGACGAGTCGAAAGACTTATATACGAGTCGCCACATGTCGCAATTCACGTTTTACACCCGTGTAACATAACGGATACGTGTAAAAAAAACGTCCGCGTGTATGCTCGATCGAAGAAGATGTGTATAAGCGTATTAAAATACTTCTCTCTTGATTAATTGATGCCACGAGAAACGCGTTTTTTTTCTTTTTTTTTTTTTTTTTTTGTGAATCATATATCGAAGCGATGTTTCTCGTTATCTCTTTTTAGACCCTGCTCGTCAGCAGTCGCCAAGAACAATGAACACGACCGACCGTACGGAATGCCTCCCGATGTAACTTCTGCTAATATACGAAAGGTAGATCTCCCGATGATGGACGAACAAACGCGCGTGCAGGAACTCGTTAAATAAATTGACGTTTCTACAACTTGTACCTGACCACCGGCGGCGTCGCGCGCTCACAACGAACGAACACCCCGCGCTCGCATCGTTTCGAGGTATAATTATGGCGTAACGGCCCGATGACGGAGAGACAGAAAGATAGAAGGGGAGAGGTGAGAGGAGGGGAACCCCCCTCGCGCCTCTCCGACTACTCTTCAGCTTCCAATTAGGTGACAAAAGCGAAGGAGATTTCTCGTTTCAAATTCACCGGCACAGACACTTTTTCGCGCGTACCGCCCACAGTGTCGAAGTTGCGTCCGATAGAAAAACCGAGAATAATTTTTCATCACAGATGTTATAATAAAGCTTAGAAAACTCCGCGGACGCGCGGTTTTTTTCTAACCGACATCGCATTACGATGTAAATGATTACTCGACAAAAAAATATTACGCATTACGCGACGACTAAGAACAGAAGTGTGCTTATAAATAAACATAAATGTTGCGCCGCAAAATGCAAATATCTGACGCAAACGCGATCTGACGCGAACATGATTGATCTTGATATATGTCATCGAAAGACGGATTGATTATCAAGTAGCAGTGACATTATACACAATGCCGCGGATCAAGGAGAATTGTTTATTAACATACACTTATACGCACAAATAAATCCTTGAAAAGTGTACTGATACTTGAAAAACAGTGTTACATCTATGAAGCGCAGAACAGTGTTACACATCTGGTGTGTCTGGAGAGCTCGCGAGTTGTCACCGATCTCGAAGGGGAGGGGGGAGGGGGGGAGAAAACTTCTGCGCTTCTTCGCGAAGAAATCAGAAGTTTGTAAAAAAAAAAAAAACAAAAAAACAAAAAAAAACAAGACACAAAGAAATAAAATCGAGCGACCGCGTCCGAAGAGAATTCGTTTTTCGCGATTCCATCCGGAGAGAGAAACTTCGGTTTTTCCCTCGCGCTCTTGTGTTTATCTTGCCGGGGGACGGACGATAAGTCCCGTTCGAAATCGAATTCGGCGATATCCGCGCGCCGTCTTAGAGCATCCGCTAACTCGAGAGGACCGAGTCTCTCTCTCTCTCTCTCGCTTATTTGTTTAACTAAAATCCTCAGCACCGCAGTCCGGTAGTCACGCCGCGCTCTTTCGACGAATTCTCGGATCGATATATACGGCGCGAGAATACACGCGCACACAGAGGAGACGGACACGATCGGCAATCTCTCGTTTGAGCGAGAGCGGCACGTGCGATGGACACAAAAATCCACAGAGAGCGGAGACGAGACGAAACGTCGCTTGTTGACACAAGTTGTGACGAAAGATGCGCCGTATTGTTGGCCGATATGGTAGCGCGCGTACGTAACGGAGCCTTTTGTGGATACTGAAACGCGAAACTTGCGGCGCCAACTCCTCCGGACATCTAAATGGATCTCCGGATGTGTCAAAGCTTCTACATTTTTTTTTTTTTTTTTCCGGAAACACTTTTACGCGTTCCGACCCGATTTTAAACCACTCGGGGTGGAGGGGGAGGGGGAGGAGGATTTCGCTTGAAGAACGCTGTCTCTGCTAAGGACCTTGCTTTGTATTTAGCGCACATTTGCGTTTATTTCCGAGTTAAAAGCGAGTCTTTTCTCACGCGAAGAGATTTTCTCTCGCATAGAGATGATCGAAAGTTGAGGATTGTGCGCCACGCGGGTTCTCTCCTTTAATCAATTAACGATCTCAAAGCTCTTTCGTCGACTTAGTAACGTGAAACTGACACTCTCTCGTCGTATCTCTCCCCCCCCCTCCCCAAATTGGACCAACGTCCCATCCATGATTTTGTCGTTACAACGATAAAAGTGTGACGAACGTGACTCTCGGAAGACAGAAGGAATAGCTGGTTTTGAGATATAAGTTTTGCGCGCGCGCGCGCGTGTGTGTGTGCGCGTTCGTCGAGTAAGTGCACACAATGCATACAATGTATCTTCTCTTTCCGATTATACTTTCGTTGTCGCTTCCGGCATTTGTTATTTATTTTACACAAAATAGAAGACGAGCGGTTTTCGATGTGAACATTCAATATAACGCGTTTTCTTCAAACGTTCTTCAAAGAGACTTGAATCAAGTCAAATTTTTCCGTCGTCGCGGTCGGATGGTTAAATAACAGATGGGGATCGTTCGCGCGACTCAGGATTACGTATCGAATTGCTGATTTTCATGACTGATTGTCAGAGACAGAAACGCGCGCGTTTGTGAACGCGCAACAGTGTTGTATTCCCGTGAAACCACACGTCGAGGTTTTAATAAAATACAGACGCCTCGCGCGAAACTCGTTTAACAGGCTGACAGAATAACTGTTTGCATTCGGATAACGTTTAGCCGACAGACTCAACAACTGTGTCCGGAGATGTGATCCACCGAGGCTGCCCCGCTGAATTAATCAATATGTAGACGAGAAAAGCTTTTTCTTTTTTTTTTGCTCGCCTGACAAGCGTTCGAGTGTATGTATATATATATATTATATATATATACACATATATATATGTGCTTGAAATATTCTTCCGCATCAAGGGTCGTAAAGCGAACGGAATATAAATCGCGTCGATGTAAAACTTTGCCAAACACGTCGCCAGTGTGAGCGTAACGTAACAAAACATCAAGAACTTGAACAATATCGTTGCCGAGTCTTTGACACGAGGCGACACCGAGGCGAGATTTGACGCAACTTTTTTAATTATCGCACATTCGGGTTATGTTATTCTCTCTTACGTTTCTACCCGTTAAAAATTCTAAAAAGGTTTTAAAAGATGACTTTGATCAAGTTGTTTCAGTCACCGAGCGCGCACAATATTGCTCGTGCGCGCCGCTTCTAACAAAGACAAAGTTCGGTTTTTGTGAAACTGTGTTTGCGCTAAAAAGATTTATAATACTACTCACTGGCAAAACGTGGGTCGTTTGTGGTCGGTGGCGCCGGTGCGTACCAGGGATGATGGTGTGACGACACCGCGTGGGACCTCATGGGGTCCGTTGCGGTGGCCGTGGCGCCGACGCCGGGTCCGGCATGATGATACGGCGACAGTTCCGCGGCGCAATACTGATACTGCGACGTTAGCTGCATAGTTGCGTAGGGATTACCCATGGCACTCATGCCTCCGCCGGTGCCGCCGGCACTACCGCCGCCTCCGGCACCGCCGCCGCCGGGAGCACCGCCGTTGGCAACGGAAACTGGTCCGGGGGTGCTGCCGCCGGGCGTCGAGCCGCCGTGCAACGGCGGGCTGCCGCTGCTCGCGCTCGAGCTACCGGTGTTACCACCCACCCGGGCACCGCAAGCGTTCCCGTAGGGTGAGCCCTGGGAATGCGTGACGACACCGACACCGACAGCGGCAGCGGCGGCGGCTAGTTCGAGCTTCCGGTAAGATTCCTCGATCGGCGACAGGATATCGGTTACGCTGAATGGCGTTGTGTGGGCACCGCCGGCGGCTTGTACGTGAGACGAATGCTGCTTCGGCGACAGGCTCATTGCCAGGTCGATACCGTTGAGATCCGACAACAGACCAGCCTGTTCCAGCTGCGACTGTTGTTGCTGTTGCTGTTGTTGCTGCTGCTGCTGCTGGTGCTGATGATAACTCGTAGCATTGCCGTTACCGCCTTGGTTGCCACCGCCGTTTCCGCCGCCGCCGCCGCCGCCGCTGCCGCCGCTCATCTCGACGAGCCCGGCGCCGTCGAAGTACTTGAAGCTCGCGCCTCGCGGAATGATGAGGCCGGCGCTAGCCGTAACAACGGCGCGACATTATGACGCTACTTTGTTCCTCGACTCCAAAACACGCCGCGATCGCGGCCAACTCCTCTTAGCGCGTCCCCGACACGTTCTCGATCGCCCGACTCTTCAACGTCGCGATCTTCACCATTAAATTTACAAAGTTCACTCGATCGACCATCCACTCGGAGGGGGGGGAGGACAAATTGATACACACTCAACGATATTGATTGACTTTCACAGCGCACTTGTGTATACGTCAATCCTGTTCACTCGTGTGTTACGACAGATCATGTGTGGATGCACAATACATTCTATCTTTCATGACCATGATGAACACCATGTGGATGGGTTTTGTCTTCGAAATCGATATAACGCTCGCAGTTGTCTATCGCGAGCCACGACGCGTTTCTGTGACGTTCCTGATGACGATGATGATGTTTGAACACGCACATATTTCGCGAAACCCAACTTTTCTACACACAATCACAGATGTAAGCATCAAACGTTTCTCTTTCGCCGGGAATCGAGTTCAAGAATTGTTTACATTGCGAGTAGTTTTAATTTAACATCGATGACGCTGTCGCTAGTTGTGATTTCGCGCACCACTCTGTATGTTTTTCTTCCACTCATCGCCTGTTCGTTGCCCATTACCCTCCTCGATTACCGTCCTATCCTGTCAGATAGGATCTTAAGCCGCCAAGGGTTCCGATACACTCACGTGGCTACACGCGACGAGGACCACCGTAACACGCACGAGAATCGGGGGCGGCCCAGTCGACCGGCGGCCGACTTCGGTTGGCACCGTTCGATTTCTCGATACTATCGATGCGAGGTTGGAGCGGCCGCGATGCCGCGTTTCGGAAATTTGTGTCACACGACGACGGTATGGAAACGCGAACGCGGTGTCCAGAGACTGTTGATATAAACGCGGCACGACAATCTTACACACGTGGTCGAGGATAGTGGCCGGCCAGAGCCGGCCGGCGGCCGACTGAAATCACACGGGGGTCTTCGAGTCCTTGGATTCCGCCGATAGAGAGACGATGGTAGATGTACCACTCTACGCTTCGCCTCCACCTTCGTCGAGGATACACTCTCTCCTACGGAGAAGAGCCGCTCTATGGATGGATGGATGGCTTGGCTGGCTCGGCTGGCTTGGCTGGTTGGGTGGCTGCCTGGCTGGCTGGCTGGATGGATGGATGAATGAATGGAGAGGACTTCTGTCGGGTACTCCTGGAGAGGTCCTCACGGCCGCTTAGACCCACTCGACCAGCGCTCGCCCGCTCGCGCTCGTTCGGTTCCCTCGCTCGCTCACTCGCTTGCTCGCCCACCCGAGCACCGAGGCTCCACAGCCTCTCGCGGAGAACCCGTACGACGACACGATGAGTGGAGTGCCCACTACGGAGAAGTGCCTGCTACCAAGAGTCGTGATGAGATGTCCCCTTTTGCGTGTGAGAGAAGGGTTTCCATACGCCGTGGAGAAGCACGGAGGAGACCAGAACGGGGAGAAGTGGATGCCGAGACTGCTCAACGGCCATTGGACAAGTAGAACCAATCGGGCTACGTCGTCGCTACGTCTCGTCGCTCATTGGATGGTCGTAGTCGCCGCCGTGATACCTAACAGGGCAAACCCTCCGCGTCTGCTGGCACGTCGTTGGCGGCATGTCGAACGAGACGGAACGTGTCCACCTATTGAAACCGTTCGTCGAAGCCGGAGCGGCTGTAACGTCAAGTTCCATGCGGCCGCGCGACCCACGGTACCGCCCATCCGGACACCGCCCCCGGGCGGGGATCGCGGGGGGGCGGGGAAAAAGCAACGACAGAAAAATGTTGACCGGCACACGCGCTGAAATCTTCGCCGAAGCTCAGCAACCGACGGTACTTTTTGATCCGCATCGGCTGTCACGCATCGTTTCCAAAGTCGCACAAATTTACATCATACGAGAGAAGTTCCACAAGTTTACATTTATTACCAAGATTCTTTCGGCACGTTTGCGGACGAACGGAACGTTCGAATCGACGTTTCTGTCTCATTTGTTCTTTTGTGAACCGTCAGCTGAGTGGAAAATTAAAACGTTTTTACATTCTCACAGTGGTGTTTGGACCCGGTCGTTTTTTACGTGAGTGACACCGACATAATTCTCGCGTTTGTGTTTCATTTCAGAATCAAAATTTCTACGCTAATCGTATTACGATGCCAAACAGAAGTTGTTTAATTGACAATTTATCTAATTGCGAAAGAATTGTACAACCCGCTTTAATTAATAAAAAAAAAACTATATCGTGGATCTTTCTGTACACTTTTGTGTCGGTGACTATTATGATATCTTTCCGGTGTACTTTTTCAGTGTGTACGATATCGGTGCGCACTAACGCGCCCAATTTGCTAGAACAAAAATCTGAAAAATTTATGTATGTAATTATGTATGTAATTTTATGTATTAATTTTTTGTGATTTATATGTATACCGCAATGTGTGTATAATTGTAGTTTTAAGTATACGCAAAAGATTTAATAATTGTTTATTGTTAGAGACTTTTCCTTTTATCGGTCGTATACTTTATTCTGTACCATGTTTACTTATTTGTTTTTATAAACACTGTAATATGTAAATTATGTAAGTTTGAGTTTAGAAATATATATATATATAAATTGCTACTCTGTCCCAATCATACTTCTTATTTTACCATGATAATTCGGTTAATATAAATCTTAAAAAAATCCACGTTTTTATAATAATAAAACTTTAAGAATAATAATTACATATTTCTACTTGTACACATCTATGATTCAAAATGACGGAAGTGTTATCTTCATTGATCTCAAAAACCTTATTACATTTCGCAACACATCACACGCAAAGATACAATAATTAATTGTTTAGTAATTCTGCAATATCTGATCACTTTCAAAAGATTTAAGTTTTTGTACAACACAAACAGTTAATCATTTTTATCTTGTCTAATGAGACAAAAGTTTCTGTATTAATATACAATGTACAAACTAATGATATAACACAACGCAACAAAGTATTTATGTAACGAATATATAGCAAAACGTGTAAAAAAGTATGATATACATTTTACATATTTTTAATACCTACGTAACAAAACACATCGGTTTATTTTTCAGAACAAATCGTTCGATGTTGTTTTTATTAAAAAACATAATATCTTTTAAAAATAGATAACACTCTTCAGTTATATATGGTAAACTCGTGGAAGAAACACGTTTTCGTTATTTTTCTAATTTTATTTGTGCGGACATGTAGCATTGAGAGAAAAAAAGAAACACCGATTGCGATTAATCGGCACGGCATGTAGCGACATGATGTGCGTCAGAAAGTAGGTAGCGTAGATACAAACCTTCTTCAGATAATGTTTTATCGACAAGAAAAGTGGTTACCATGTTTAAGAGATTTACTTTTACACGTCTAGATGGAGTACGACGAAGTTTCGAAACTCTGATGATTGGCCAAGAAATTCAGAAAGAAGTTTTGAGAAATTCCCTATCTCCTGACCAATCGGCACGTTCAGCACGATAAAAAAGATGTAAACAAAAATAAAATAATTCAAAAGTGGGTTAGGTGTTCGTAACCTCAAATATATTGAAAACTGGCGGCAACTCGTTGACAAGTAAAACGCACTTACATCAGATCATAGATGGAATTGTTTATGGAATAGAAAGCGGAATTAGTTGATATCATGGGTATTACCGGTTTGTTACCATTCTTAGAAAAGTCTTCTAGGAAAACAAACATCAAAGAATTTTCCGGCGGTACTGTTGCAATCGATTCTTATTGTTGGTTGCACAAAGGTGTGTTTTCTTGCGCCGAAAAGGTATTATTGGGACAAAAAACAGATGCGTAAGTAGCTTCTATATTTACATATATATATATATATATATATATAAATACATACAGTTATACATTTTTTTTTTATAAAAAATACTATACTAAACATTTTTGTTTTAAATATTAACAGTAATTGATAATTTTTTTCTTATATTATTTAGATTTGTTCTGTATTGTATGAAGTATATAAATATGCTGTTAAAATATCACATAAAACCAATCTTGGTATTTGACGGTCGACGATTGCCTGCCAAAGAACAGACAGAAATTAAGAGACGAGAGTATGTAAACGAAGACAAACTTTTTACTCATATATGTCTCACTTGTAGATATTAAGATTTAAATCACAAATAATGATAAGAAAATAATATGATAAAATGTATAATAAATGTTGTCCATTCTCCACTTACTGCTATAGAGCCAGACAAATGAATCGTCGAAAAGCAAGCGAGTTAATGCAAATGGGCCAAGTTACAGAAGGAAGAAACTTATTGAAAAGAGCTATAGATATCACTCATGAAATAGCACTGGAATTAATTAAACAATGTCAAAATGAAAACATTGACTGTATAGTAGCTCCTTATGAAGCTGATGCACAATTGGCATATTTAAATATCAGTGGTATAGCTGACGTTGTTATCACAGAAGACAGTGATTTGACATTATTTGGCTGTAAAAAGGTGCTTCGCGCTGTCACTAAGATTAATTCTACCTTTGAATTTTTTTTCATACATTTTTGTTGCAGATATTTTTTAAAATGGATTTTAACGGATACGGAGTTTTAATTGAGCAAGATCGATTGCATTTGGCACTAGACTTGCGACCTGAACAATTTAGTATGGATAAGTTTCGTTACATCTGTATTTTGTCTGGTTGCGATTATCTGTCCTCTCTGCCTGGTATCGGTTTGGGAAAAGCAAAAAAGTTTATCATAAGAAATACAGATACAGATATCCATAAAGTTAGTATCATTTCTGTGACGTTGCTGTGTCACTTAGTTAAGATAAAATAGACAGCTTAACAAGGTTTTGATACAAATACGAAGAAGAATCTGATAACATAAGACACTTTTATGACTTAAATAGGTTTTTTTATTTGAATTTACTTAATGATTAATATAATTGTTAAGGCATTGACGCGTATGGGATCGGTGTTGAATATGAAGTCACTGGTTGTGACACAAGAGTACAGAGATGCATTTATATTAGCTGACATAACGTTCAAGCATCAATTAGTGTTCTGTCCGTTACAAAGAAAGCAAGTGCGATTAAATCCTCCTACACCTGAGATTACAAAAGATCAATTGCGATATGCTGGTAAAGAGTTAGATGCGGATCTTGCTTTCCAACTAGCTCTTGGCAATTGTGATCCAGCCACTTTAAAGATGGTTCACAATTTTAATCCAGATAAAATTGTAAGTAAGTGGATTAACTGTCATTAAATTACAAATTACGGGTTTTATAAGTTGTCTTAAGCTTTATGTGAAGTAAGTCGACAGAGATGGAAAAATACTCACTATATTTTATATTGCTGTAGGAAAGAAAAAGAAAACGAAACGAGGAAACAAAACCATCAGTGATTTACACTAGCATCTGGTCAAGCAAATATGAATTGAAAACAAAAATTCATATCACACCGTCTAAAAATACAGAAAACTACTCGATTATTGCTAGAAAAGAGTATAACAATATTCCGAAAAATAAACACGTTACATCAAAATTGCGCGATATTTCGACCGTGCAATGTAATCAATTTTCGGAATATCAGAATTTAAACAAAAATGATATTTTGGATGTATATAATTCAACTCAAGATGACAAACTGATTTCCAGTTCGAACGAAAACTCAGAAGAAAGTTTAGGTTTAGAAAATACATCACCAGACTTGTTTAGACGAAGAAATCCGTTTGTTAAACATGTATCCGAACTCACAACATCACCGGGAGAGAACTTACTCTTAGAAAATACATCGCCGGAATTATTCAGACAAAAAAATCCATTTGTTAAACATGTGACCGAACTTACAACGTCGCCAAGTATCTTGTCCGATGACAATTGTCGAAGAAGAGGGAGAAATTTGATGCGCATGAGACGGACTATTGTAGATGAAAATACTGTAGTGGAAAGCAAATATTTCTCGAAACAAAATAATGAAAATCACGACTTGGAAAATGAAAAAATTGAAAAAGACAGTTTGAAAAATATAAAATGTAATCTAATTTCCAAGATAGACATTGAGGTACAGAGCAGCAAACCAAGTTCGGAACAAACAGAAATATCATCTATAACGAGCCATGTAGAAAATGTGAATCTGAAAGAAGATATCAACAAAGTTCTTCCTAATCAAGATAAATATTTGAGCACCACTTGTGAAAATACTTTTGAGAAATTGCATTCTACAAATGACAGAAATTACAATTCGGATAATACAGCAAATTATAATGTAGCAACAGCAAATGATAATGTGAAAGCCGATGATGAGCTACTTAATTATTATGAAAATATAAACAGTTTACGTGACAATTTCTCTCATTGGTCAAGTACTAATATTTGTCAAACTCCGCCACGTACAACTGAAGTTTTTAGGGAACGAACTCCAGCGAATTCGGTAAATATAGAAATATCCATTATCCGAAGAATTCTAAGTGAATCCTTATATAACGTGGATTTTATTTCAGATACGAGATAATTCGGCAATAAAACGAAAACAAGTGCGTCGAAGTAAACAATCGCCAACGGTTTCTCGACAACAAAGTTTATTGAGCATGTATGGATTTCAAAAAAAGTAATAATTTTAATTATAAATATATAAATTTTTGTATAGTTTTGGATAGTTTAGTTTTTTTTATATTTGTATCTCATGTATATAAATTACAGCAGACAAAATTAAATTATACATTTGTAATTTTTTCACAGATCGAATATCAAACATTGATTTTAAGGATTTATCAAGTTTGAAATATTTACGATCTTGTGTGAACATTTAAAACGTGTTCTTTAGCATTTTTGTGTGACAAATACGGTAAAACCTTTTTCAGTTTTTATATGCTTTTTCTACTATTCTCTCGTTAGTGCGCATTTAATTGTAATTTGTATGATTATGTAAACAAGCACAAGACAAAATTGTAGACAAATCGTGCCGTTTAGTGCAAATAATTTAGATTCTGTGCATACTTGCATAGTCACGTGGTACAAAATACTGCCAGTGTTTTGAGACACCTTATAAAATAAGACTGTAAATATGTAGGTAAGTGTTGACACATATAATGTTACTTAAATTTTTTATAAAATAAAAGTTCGAGTAGAATTCGGATATGATATTCAAATAAATATAATAATTGACTAATAATTGCAAACAACTGATATTTTTTTGTGATATGTAATATTTTTTTTTTCGAATTGTATACAAGTGAACGCTGCAGAGAAAACTTCTGAACTCCGTCTTTCTGTATTGTTCTATATAATCGTAATTATATGCTTATTGGTGTACGTGTGACTCATAAGGTAAACTGATTCTTGCAATCTTTATTTACAATCAAAATCTCACCTTGTTTTTGAAATAAGACAGAGAAGTTATATGTGACATACAATAAATGTACACACTATGTTAAAACCATTGTGAATAAAGTATGTTATCAATTTAATTAGATGTACAAAGTCCTTAGCTTTCAGTTTTACATCGATCGGAGTACCACTAAATCCTAATATCTTTTCGTCTTCCGCGAACTGTTGTTTATCGTCTTAGAACTGTTTACTAATCTATTTTATATCTAGTTATACATATATATTTTTACTTATTTATTTTATATCTAGTTATTATGTATATATAAAATTTATGCACTTATATAAAAAATTTTTAATAACTGCTTATAACCAAGTATTCGAGTTGCCTCTTTTCTTTAGTTTTCTGATATTTATTTGATCGGCACGAATTTTACACGAACCGGATGAGCAGGACGAAGTATCAAATCAATCTTAATCTTAAGATTCTTCAAGTAATCAACAGGTTCCAAGTAAAAGTGATGCACCAGAGGTGCGACAATAGCCTTCATTTCGTACATAGCGAACCGTTGACCTGCAGCACGCGCAACGAATCAGAAAAAATGTTTTCTCGTCAGAAAAACAAACAAATTACGCTAGTTACCTATGCAATTCCGTGGTCCCGCACTGAACGGTAGGTAGCAGTAAGGATGGCGATTTTGCATTTGCTCAGGCAAAAATCGATCCGGATCGAATACTTCCGGGTTCGGCCAGAAGTTAGCATCTCTGTGGACGCCATAGATATTAAGGTGCAAAATCGTGTCAACTGGAATCGTATACGACTCTATATAAGACAAAAAAAAATATATATATATGTGTGTGTGTGTATGTACACGTGTGCACAATACAGTGATATGCAACGTACCGTAATCTATGACTTAAGTAATAACATATTACAAACCCGTATACTCTATCACTAATACGTACGACATTGTATCTCTTCTGTATTACGGCGCGATATGAAATGTACACTGGGATACAATCGCATCACTTCTTTTAAGCATCTTTCTAAATACGGTAGCTTTTGTAAGGACGCCATAGTTAATTTGCCTTCAGTTTCTTTCATCACATCAACAACTTCAGTCCTGACACGATCCTATATATTATTAAAAGTTGTGTTATTTTGCTGATTTAATTATAAACGTTTTGTATGAAGGTTCGGAGGTTTCTTGAGAATATCATCTTTATTTTCTTCTAAAAAATATATTCTTTTACTAAGTTTGTTAAACGTATATATAAAGAAAGATATGTCACAAATAAATAGCAATCTGAATAAAATAAACTGTCTTCATTGATGTTGTTCACATTTCGCGCAGTTTTATTTATATATCACAAAGTACCTGAACATCCTTGTGCTCAGCTAGTAAGAGTAAAGCAAAACACACACCCATTGCCGTAGTATCGTGACCCTGTAATTACAGTATCTATTTTTCAGTAATTACATGTATCTGAACACTATAAAAACAACTTAGGCGCATACTACACGTATACATGCCTCGAACATGAAGGTGTCGACTTCCTCTCTAATGTCCAAATCGGTTATATTATTTTCACGAGATGCCGCTATTAGAAGATCCAACATAGCGAGTCGCTTTTTACGAACTAAGTTAAAAAATATGTACAGTTGCATCACGCTCCTAATTTTATAGGTTTTTGTATACATTTTATTTTATTTTATGCAAATATCGGTAAAATTGAATTTTTTATATTTGTATCAGATCTCAACAACAATAATATTTGATTGTTTTACGTACTTCCGATCACTTCTACATCATCTATTTCTGTCGATATACCAGTTTCAATGTTTTTTAAATATTGGTTCTGTGTGCGTTCGTGATATAGTTTCCTTTCTTTAATGACCTATATATATGAATAGAAAAAATACATTTTTTTATATTGTTGAGGTTTTGTTATACATGCATTTATAATCATGAGTATTGCAAATTACGTTATAAAGCAAAGGTATTTTACATACTTTTTCAGTAAATCCATGTAATATTTTCAACGCTTTAGCTTGCTTTCTACCTGTTGGAGATAATGCGAACACCCATGCGAAATACAGCCAAGGAGAGCATATTCTGCGCGTTATAATCACTTTAAATTTATAGATATTCTAATATAATATATATATAGATTGCTTGTAAAGAAATTATATTTGTTCTAGTTTAAAATAGAAGAAAGAACACTTACCTTGGAATTTTAGTATGAAGCCTTATTGTAAAAAATACTATACATATAGATATTATATATATATATATAACATATACTACAGAAATGTACATGCGTCAATTACCTTTCTACAACAAAGCGACCCATATCTTCTACTGCTTTTCGATATTGTCCCTGGAACGCGTCACAACTACGCAAAGAAATACCCATGGCGGTTTCTAAAAGTACATTTAGCACAGCTGTATCATACTAAACACTTTGCATAGAGATTTCGAACGTTACATAGTGACCTTTATTTATACATATTTATTGTGTCATCATGTATAATATAGTAACACCGATATGTTACCTTCGAATAATAAATTCTCTTTTGAGTATGATTGTTTGTAAAATTAGATATTCTTACATATACAGATATGACAGAAAATATGATAATTTACCGCATATTGCATTTAGTGTGTGCTCGCTAAGAAATGGGACTAAATCTTTTATAACTGTTCCTTCACATTCTTTCAGAGATGTTATCATATGGTTGCTCTCTTCGACAAAAACGTCAACGAATTGTTGCAGTATATTAAAATGAAATGCTGGCGTTAATATTTTTCTTCGACTGTACCATTTGGTCCCTTAAAAAAACAAGATCATATATAATAAGACAGTAAAAAATACGTCCGGAACATATTGTACTCATATTATTTGTAGTATAAATATAGTTGTAAATTGTTACATTAATTTGGTTGGGCTATGGTCAATAATATAATATATCAATTTATAATATTTAATTACGATATTAATAAAACTTATAGCTATGGTAATGTCGGTATATATTACCTTTGCTAGTAAGAAGTCCATCGTTAAGCCACGGACGTAACATGTCGTATAGTATATTTTTGTCGAGATGTTTTGTACTGCTTAAGACTTTCTGAAATTACAGAAATTAAGAGAAACTATATTAAACCTATTATGTTTTTCTAAGTTTAATGTTAAAACACAAATAATTTTTTTTTAAATATTTTATTTCATAAATATATTGTCGAGTATGAGTAATTGTATTCTTTTTAATACTAAATGATAACACTAATTCTTAAGTGAAATCGACAGATTGACAGTGTACAATCGCGGAAAAATATATTTCTGCTATTTTAATACCTCTAGATCGTCTGGATGACGAATGGATACACTATGCATAAAACCTAACCAGCATTTTGCAACAGGATAATAATTGTTCGTGTAATAACGTACAAGATGCCATGCTTCCTCTGAAAAATGTACTAAATGTAGTAGATAATACTTCGGTACAAGTGCACCGTATAAAAAATGTAGGTTATTTCTTTTTAACAAATTGTGTAAAAAGAAGCACATTATACTTGCCTTGTGAACCGTGAGCTAAAAGTACTGAGCCAAAAACTGGAATACGAGGTGGACCTGGTATAAGATCGATAAGTCGCCCAGTTCTTGTACGGTGTACATAAAAATCATACAGTAGTATAAAAACAGTCGACCAAAATATTATTGTTATGATCATGTTTTGTAGTATAAAAAGAGTTTTGTTTTGATTTGAGTAGATTTGAAGTACTTCAAAGTTGTGAACGTTTTGAATTATGGTAACTTTTCTTTCTCTTCAGTCTGCTTGACGTTTGGTTTGAAAATGGTGATTTTAATATAAAGCACTGTCAGAGTTGCGCATGAACTTCTTGACGTACATTACAAGTTACAACAAATATTTATACACTCAAAAGTCGTTTTTGGAATAAAACGTAAAATCACTATATTATCTGACTGCACGTGATTAGAGAGAAGTTTAGATAGATACTGCAAGTATTATGCCAATATATATACTTTTATTTCTCTCCCTTCTTTTCTCTTTATCGGTTAGACGGCAGTAAGAAACTTTGAACGGAGCCTTGACAAGTTATGTACTCCAAAATTTTTAAGTTTATATAAAACAAGAAAAATAGTTTTATAAGACTTATAAATACTACAGACAATGGCAGAAAGAGGTTTTTGTAATTACTTTTTCACTTATTTGTGTAAGTATTGTTTGACGTAAAGTAATATAAATGAAAAGCGATCAAGCTTTGTCAGAAAACTTATAATTAATCATTACAATAATTAAAACAATCACAAACACTAGCTATGCACATAGGGTAAAGGTGCCTTCTGAGATAGTCGCCTAATACGAGATAGCAAGCTAGTTTATGTAAATGGCTACAATTTTATAACTAGATATTTTTAATACTTCATGAACACAAAAACATCAAATTTTTTGTTAATGTCGTTTACTGCCGAAGGTGACGTGATGTCTGCGAAGGAGTTATCGCTTACGCGCAGAGAAGAAAAATAATCATTATCACTTTAAAACATTTTTAACACTTTTATAAAATAATATAAAGGAAAAGCGATCAAGGTTTGTCAGAGAATTGATAATTAATCATCAACAGAATCATAAATAGTAGCTATGTACATACATGTTACATTTTGACATCTTACTGATATGATGAGTAGAGATAATCTTTGTTTCCTGAATAAATCTGAATTTCATTAATATTTTTATCAAGTTGATTGTGATTTTTCCATAAAAGTGTCATAATATTCGAGGGTTTTTTGTGTTTTTAATGAATGCCGTTTCGGTTATTTATTTGCTTTATCTGTTCGAATGACTATAATAAGCGTAATATCACAGTTTTATTATTCAATGTACTCTATTCCGTCATCTTGTTATTCTTGTTATGATATTTTGGACTATTAAATATCGATAATAGCAAAAAGGATTTTTAACTGTAAATGTTGCATCAGCTAGATTATATATACATATATAATGTATATATATAATATGTATATGTATATATAATATATACATATGTATATATGTATATATATACATATGTATATATATGTATATAATGTATATATATACATATATACATATACATATGTATATACTATATACATTATATATATATAATTCGTCTAGAATTTCATTTAAAAAAAAACACTTCTACATCAAAAGAATTTGACACATTATGTGATGATAATGTTGTAAATCACGAAAAGTGCAAAAATTGATATAAAAAGTTTTGCGGTAAAGATTAGATTTTGAAAAATCAGCCATGTCCTGAACAAACTTTCCCGAACTAGTTTAAATTGAGCTAGCTGCAAACATTATTACCTATAAAACTTGCACAAAAAAAGGAAATCGGAATGACACATGTAATTAAATCAATTTGTTGAACCAACTTTTAAATAAGTTTAAAACAAACAAATCTTTATAAAATATTTTATGTTCTGCACGTGTATGCGGTACTTTTTAAAGACGCCTTGAAACAAAGTTCTTTATATATGGACAATTTTCACTTTCATTATGTGTCCGTAAATAACTGTCTAGGCAATCAGCTGATACGTTAATATAAAATCAGGTTTTGACCCGTTGACGTTAGTTTATGACGTAATATTAACGGTAATGACGACGTGAGTTTGTCTCGTCAAAAATAACGTCAGGTTAGTGACCATTTTTTACGTCATTAATCTGACGTAACGTGATTAACGTGACATCCCACACAGCAAGTAATATTATCACAATATCACAGAGTAATATTGTTTTTCTAATGCAATATTGCACTTTAATATAATAGAAATATTATCGTAATATTAATGTAATATCACAATATTATTAAAATGTTTGCCGAAATGAATCACAGTAATATTACGATAATATGTAAAAAAAAACTAGCACTTTGTAAGAGGGAAATTAATTCGAGATTTTATTCGAATTAATCTTTGGAAGCCTGATTCAGTTTGTCGATCAATTAATTAACTTGATGAAAGGTACTGAATCCGGAAAACTTCTTGAAGAGATGATAAGATTTGAAACTCGAGACACTTCCATATTCGCAGCCACTGCACTCAGTCCGCAAATCTACTTGTTCCTTACTAAAATGTAATTCTTTTCTCTACTTATTCTCAAGCTACTCTACACATTTCAGTTATTATTTATCTAAATTATTCTTTTATTAAAAATATTGTAGTGCAATGTATCTGCATCATTGAGTAAAACTGATTCTTTTAGTATTAGTATTATTATTAAATATAATTTAAAATACATTTTTACAACGCGAACAAATTTGTTGTTAACATATACTAATTATTAAAGTTACTTTTTAATAAATATATTGCAAATGATATAGAAAAATATGTATACACATTTATATGTATCAATTTTAGTATATATAATTATTATATAGTAGTTTAGTATATATAATTATTATATAGTAAAAATGTTACGCACACAAACTGTTTTTTGTTGATATAATACATTTTGAAAACAAAGCATTTATGTTTTAAACAAAAATTTTTATGGTTTTACAACAACGTAGCAAAAATGATGTGTCATATTATATATAAGATACAATGCGATGTATGCAACGTGCTAAATAGTAAATAATATTAAATGACCCCATAAACAATCACAGCTTCCAGTAATATGTCAGAAACGTTGCAAGTTGCAATATAATATTGCAGATATGTTTTAGAGACATACAATATCAATATTTCGTCGAAATGTTCCAGCAATGTTGTAGAAATGTATATTAAATAATAATATTATAACAAATTCTCAGGATATTGTTTAATCAGGATTAAGCTTAAGCTTCAATCACTCCTTCCTGGAGAATATCCTCTTGGTTTAACTGCATGTAGTTTAAATGTATTTTACAATGTTTATGAAAAATTAAACATTAAAAACTTTGCGAATGCATCAACGATTTCAGTAACGTTTTCTGAATGTTTCTTATACGTTACTACAAAAAGTCGAATCGCAATTTAAATTTCGACGTTCTCGCTACGTTACTACGACGTTTTAAAGACTTTTAACGAAACGTTGCTAAGTTTCAGAAAACTCGTTGCGGAAACATTTGTGCTATGTGAGTAGTTACATCATGTATGACGTATAAGTGTGACGTATATACTGACGTCAATGTTATGACGTTCAGAATAACGTCAGATTTAGGTCATACTAACCAATTGGTAGCAAAAGTCACGTATATTTGCGTCATTACAACGTCAGCTGGTTGCTTGGGTATGTGTGGGTAATAATATATTTTTTATAAAATATTTTTTTATATATTTCACCTATACATACAATCTTTAATATATAACAGTTTATAACCAAAAAAACAAGTTGTCCCATGTCTTTAGTTGTCTTGATATTTATTTGACCGGCACAAATTTTACACGAACCGGATGAGCAGGACGAAGTGTCAAATCAATCTTTATCTTAAGATTCTTCAAGTAATCAACAGGTTCCAAGTAAAAGTGATGCACCAGAGGTGCGACAATAGCCTTCATTTCGTACATAGCAAACCGTTGACCTGCCGAACGCGCAACAAATCAGAACAAATTTTTTTTGTCAGACAAACAAACAAATTACGCTATTTACCTATGCAATTCCGTGATCCCGCACTAAACGGTAAGTAGCAATAAGAATGGCGATTTTGCATTCGGTCAGGCAAAAATCGATCGGGATCGAATACGTCCGGGTTCGGCCAGAAGTTAGCATCTCTGTGGACGCCATAGATATTAAGGTGCAAAATTGTGTTAGCTGGAACTGTATACGACTCTATAAAAGACAAAAAAATTATATATATATATGTATGTGTGTACACGTGTGCACAATACAGTGATATGCAACGTATCGTAATCTATGTAACTTAAGTAATAACATATTACAAATCCGTATACTCTATCACTAATACGTACGAAATTGTATATCTTCTGCAGTAACGCGCGATATGAAATGCACACTGGGATACAGTCGCAGCGCTTCTTTCAAACATCTCTCTAAATATGGTAGGTTTTGTAAAGATGCCATAGTCAATTTTCCTTCATTCTCATTCATCACATCATTAACTTCAGTTCTAACACGATCCTATATATTATTGAACGTTATGTTATTCTGGTGCTTGTAATTATATAAATAACATTTATATATATAAATATAATGATAATATCATCTGTATTTACTTGAAAAAGATATATACTCTGACTAATTTTGTTTAGAATTAAATATAGAGAAAAATATGTAACAACAAAAATAGTTTCAAAAAGAACCGATTTAAATAAAGAAAGACGTTATCGATTCTTTATCATATTTATCACAAAGTACCTGAATCTCTTTGTGCTCAGCTAGTAATAGCAAAGTAAAGCACATACTCATTGCCGTAGTATCGTGACCCTGTAATTATACACACCCACATCCATTTCTCGTTAAATGTTAGTATTTTTACATCTTCGAATATACTATAGAAAAAAAAAGATGTATATATGTTAAGTATATTTAATAGATATAAATATATAAACTACACATATACATGCCTCAAACATAAAAGTGTCGACTTCTTCTCTTATATCCAAATCGGTTATATGATTTTCTCGAGATGCCGCTATTAAAAGATCCAACATAGCGAGTCGCTTTTTGTGAACTAAGGTAAAAAATGTGTATAGTTGCTTTTAATTGTACATTGGTTTGTAAAAAATTTGATGTAAATCAAATTATAAACTAAACCATAGAAGCTACAAAGCACCAATAGATAATATTTATTGAATATCATCTCATTAAAGTATCGTTAAATTCTCATTTTTTGTATTCGTATCAAATCTCAACAGCAATAATATTTGATTGTCTTACTTTCGATCACTTCTAAATCATCTACTTTTGTCGATGTAGTACTTCCTAAGTTTTTTAAATATCGGTCTTCTGTGTGTTCGTGATAAAGTTTTTTTTCTTTAATGACCTATGTAAATAAAAAAAGTATTTTTTTAATATTCTTTACTTTTTGTTATATTTGCATATATATAATTTAGCATATTGAAAATTAAATTAATCAGCAAAAGCATTTGACACACTTTTTCAGTAAATCCATGTAATATCTTCAACGCTTTAGCTTGCTGTCTACCTGTTGGAGATAATGCGAACGACCACTCAGGATACAGCCAAGGAGATTGTATTCTGCACATCATAATCACTTAAAATCTATAGACATTCTAATTTAATATATGGAACGTTTATAAAAAAAATTATGTTTGGTCTAGTTTAATTTAAGAGAAAGGATAAGTAACTTGGAATCTTAGTATGAAGTCGTTTTTTAAATTGTACGACACACACACATACAGGGTATCCGACAATTAATGTAAAATCTCTCGTAGGCAAGTAGAAGATGTAAAACTGAGTCGAAAAATTGACGCATATACATTTTTATAATATACGTTATATACATATACAGGGTGTCCGACAATTAGTGTAAAATCTCTCGTTGGCAAGTAGAGGAAATAAAACTGAGTCGAAAAGTCTTGAACCATTTTTTTCTATTACATATAATAAAGGAGTAATTATTGAATAAATCAAGCCAATCAGAGCCGACTTTTAGCAGAACGTACGTCAGTGAACCACGCGCCTGGTGTGCGTGAGCGCGCGGCTCACTGACGTGCGTTCTGCTAAAAGTCGGCTCTGATTGGCTTGATTTATTCAATAATTACTCCTTTATTATATGTAATAGAAAAAAATGGTTCAAGACTTTTCGACTCAGTTTTATTTCCTCTACTTGCCAACGAGAGATTTTACACTAATTGTCGGACACCCTGTATATGTATATAACGTATATTATAAAAATGTATATGCGTCAATTACCTGTATACAATAAAGTTACCCATATCTTCTATTGATTTTCGATACTGTTCCTGAAACGTGTCACAACTGCGCAAAGAAATACCCATGGCGGTTTCTAAAAGTACATTTAGCACAGTTTTATCATATTAAACACTTTGCATAGAGATTTCGAACGTTACATATATTCTTTTATCGCATATTTATTGTGTCATCATGTATAATATAGTAACACCGATGTGTTATCTTCGAATAATAAATTCTGTATTGAGTATGATTGTTCGTAAAAGTAAATATTCTTACACACACAGATATGACAGAAAATATGATAGTTTACCGCATATTGCATTTAGTGTGTGCTCGCTAAGAAATGGGACTAAATCTTTTATAACTGTTCCTTCACATTCTTTCAGAGATGTTATCATATGGTTACCCTCTTCGATCAAAACGTCAATAAATTGCCGCAATATTGTAAAATGAAATGTTGGCGTTAGCAATTTTCGACGAGTATGCCATTTGCTCCCTGAAGAAAGAACAAAATGATATAATTCAGGTTAAAAGATACGTTTGAATGATAAAAATTTTGAGATCACGTTTTTATACCCTAATAGGCAAATTGTGAAAATATTGCACAAAAAAGGCATTATGAATAACGACGATCCTGCAATGATTGCACTAAGATGATTCGCCATGACGCAACAGTTTTGTCAAAAAAAAATTGTGTAAATAATAGGTGTCAAAAATTGCGAGAAAGTCGTTATGCATTTCCGTAAGTATATACATGAATTAAGTTGATTTCTTCATATGCAATTATATTTTTATTATATTTTAACCATCACATAGCTGAAAGTTTTGTGTCACTTATTGGACAATTCTTTTTTGAAATTGATTTTGCAAATATACTTCTAAGATGATTTGCTATATCGTTATTCTTTTGCCAAAATAGTATTTGGAAAGTAATTTTGCAAACAATTACAAATATTTTATAAAAGATCAATATTTTTACATCTATTTCCTAAAATATATCTGTATAATTGCAAATTACAATTTTAGTGCAAGATTTTGTCACATAATTTTGTAAAATGTTTTCTTATCAGGGATGTACATGGTTTTGTGAATTCTATTTATAACATAAACAGTTGCAAAGTTTTATATTAAGTCGGTTGTTTTACATAAAATAAAATAATTGATCATAATATATTAGTGATTACGAAATTATTATCAACTACAGCTATGGTGATGTTGTTATATTACCATTGCTGGTGAGAAGACCGTCGTTAAGCCATGGACGTAATGCATCGTATATTCTACTTTTCTCGAAGTGTTTCGTGCTGCTTAAAACTTTCTGAAATTGCAAGAGGTACGATAGTGAAAATAAGTTCTTCTGCTATCTAATTTCAGCACATAATGATTTTATAAAATATGTCATATATGTATTCTAGATTTTGAGTAATCTTGTCTTCCGAATAATAGATGATAACAGTAATTGCTTAGTTCATTTTAGATTGCCAATGTACGTTCGCGAAGAAGTACACCTGTCTTATATTTTAGTACCTCTAGATCGTCTGGATGACGAATAGATACAGCATAAGTAAAACCCAACCAGATTTTTGCAATAGGATATTTACAGTCCGTGTAAAAACGTATAAGATGCCATGCATCCTCTGAAAAATGTACTAAATGTAGTAGATAATACTTCGGTAAAAGTGCACCGTATAAAAAATGTAGGTTACTTCTTTTTAACAAATTGTGTAAACACATTATATTTGCCTTGTGAAACTTGACCAAAATGTGCCGAGCCGAGAACTGGAATACTAGGTGGACCTGGTATAAGATCGATAAGTCGCCCATTTCTTGTATGGTGTAAATAAAAATCATACATTATTGTAAAAACAATCAAAAATAATATTATTGTTTCGATCATGTTTTGTAGTATAACAAGAGTTTTGTTTTGATTTGAGTAGATTTGAAGTACTTCAAAGTTTGTTTTAGTTGTAGTTTTGTTTTTGGTTTTTCGAGAACGTTTCGAATTATGGTAACTTTTCTTTCTTTTCAGTCTGCTTGATCTTTGTTTTAAAAATGGTGATTTTAATATAAAGCACTGAAGGTCAGTTACGCATGACCTTTTTGACGAACATTACAAGGTACAACAAATGTTTATACACTCAAACGTCGGGTTTAGAACAAAACGTAAAACCACTATATTATCTGACTACACTTTATCAAAGAGAAGTTAGATTGATACTGCAAATACTATGCCAGTATATATATATATATATATATATATATATATGCCAGTCCATTCTCTCTTTTCTTTTCTCTTTATCAGGTAGACGACAGAAAGAAACTTTGACCGGAGATAAGATATGTACTCCCAGTGGCGTAGTAAGAAAAGACAGCGCCCGAAGCGGTCTTTCTCCCTCGTGCCTTCTTTATTAGATTATTCTGATAATGATCACTTAAATAACTAACAAACTGTTCTCTTAATTTAGTACTTAACATCTTTTTATTTTACACTTTTACTTTTTTTATAATCAATTTTATAGTCAATTCACATAAAAAATTAAACAATAAAGTTTAAATTTTAAATAAAACTTTTAATAACCTTTAAACTTGAATAAACTTTAATAAACTTAAAACTTTTAATCAACTAAATTTTAATTTTGCAGAGTAAAGCCGCCGCGATTCTGCACGGGTAGACATGGTAGAAGAGTGACTTATGTGTGCGTGAAAGTACGTGTGAAGGGGAAAGCGGATTTATAGCGAGAGACTAAACGAATCTATAGCGAGAGTTTACTGTATATAAGTGTGAGCACGTGTGCACTTTTATGGACAGAATTCAGACAGAACTCACGCTGTTTTAATACTTTCTGTTGAAAGATCCAAGAAAAACTAAAGATCTGCGGGTTAATAAACGCAGAAAAAAAAGAAATGATATCTCGATCGTAAAACATTTGGCTATATGTTCGCACAGTTGTCTGTGTTGGAGACTGAGAAAAGTGTGAACGACTTGTCTGTTTTTGCGCTACTCGATTGTTTCGAAAAAGGAAAGATATGCTGAACCGACAACGAACATTCAACTCAATTGTCACTCAAACGCTACGCTGTCTAGTAAATTTTTTAAATTAAATAACGCTCGAGCTTCAAGCAATAAAAATGCGTTTACATATTGCTCCATTGCGCCTTTGTTAAGACGGCGCCCGGGACGGACCCTCTTACTACGCCACTGTGTACTCCACGATGGTTAAGTTAATATAAAAAAAAAAAATACAGTTTATAAGACTTATAAAAATTACGGATAATGGCAGAAAGAGTTTTTTGTGATTACTTCTTTACTTCTTTGTGTAATTATAATTTGACGTAAAGTAATATAAATGAAACGCGGTCAAGGTTTGTCAGAGAACTGATAATGAATCATCAACACAATCACAAATAGTAACTGTGTACATACATGTTACATTTTGACATCTTACTGTATACATTTATGATAGTAGAGATGATCTCTGTTTCCTGAATAAATCCGAGTGTCATATGTTTTTATGAAGTTGTTTGTGATTTTTCTATACAAGTTTCATAATAGTAGAGAACTGTTTGAATTTTTAATGTGAATGCCGTTTCGATTATTTATCTCTCAGATAAACAAGACTGAATGAGCATAGTTTGCAAAGTCTGCAATAATACATTATGCAAGTAAAATGCAGACTTTGCAATAATACATTATGCAAGAATACACAAATATAATCTGTTATCTGTTTGTCAACTAGTGTTGACAAAAAACAGAAAACACAGAAAATATAAATGTGTCATACCGTGATGCAAATATTATTGTATCAATCAAGCAAAACTTGCTCAAAAAATGTAGCAGATTTGAAGCATAACGCGCTATTGTCATTTCATCCTTCATTAATTTCTATATTTTTGCTGTGTTGTTTTATTTACATATCGTGACTATGTACTTCACTCACTATGATGACATAGCTGAGTGGAATTTGCTCCACAGTGCTGATCACAACTGCGTGCATACTGCTGGCATACTGCTATCATTTGGCTATTGGGGCTGCTTTATCTGTTCGAATGACTGTAATAAGCGTAGTGTCATAATTTTATTATTCACTGTGCTCTATTCTGTCATTTTGTTATTCTTGTTATGGTAGTGGACTATTAAATAATAGGAATAGCAAAAAGTTTTTCTTAGCTTTAAATTTTGCATTAGCTAGAACATTGTTACGTCCTGGGGACTCCACGGGCCCCTTTTTCTTGCAACGTGACGCGCCGACATACAATAAATTCCTTTTTTTTCTCAATAAATAACACGAACGGACTCGGACTTCGACGCGATAGACGCGCAAATAGAAATCGTGTCGACGCCCGAAAACAATAAACCG